ATATATATATATATATATATATATATATATATATATATATATATATATATATATATATATATATATATATATATATATATATATATATATATATATATATATATATATATATATATATATATATATATATATATATATATATATATATATATATATATATATATATATATATATATATATATATATATATATATATATATATAAAACTACAAATGTACTTGTTAAAACTATTTTAGCAGTTAGGTAGTCTGCATTGCGTTTCTGTAAAACAAAATAAGTCATTGTACCAAGTGGTTAATTATTAATTACATTATTTATTGCAATTATTATTTTTCCAATTTCAAAATGTTTTTAAAATGTGTAAAATATACCTGCAGCTGTGGTCTGTCAATAGCATTACGATTTCTGCATATTATTTACACAATTATCAGTGTCCGACATTTGGCACATCTTTTTAAAACATTCTTACATATAATACAGTACTAGAGTTTTGGTTTTACGCATTTATCACATATACACACATATATATTGTTAAATCAGTATTATTTTGGATAGCGATTAATCTTTGCCCAACACTTTTCTACAACTCATCTTAACAAATCTCTCTTACTGGGAATGATGACGGGGAATATTTTCACTAATATTTTGACATTACATCTACAGTAAAGTTATGTAAATCTTTAAAGTTCTGTCATCAGGATAATTATTATATTATATTTATACAAATATAATTTAAATTGTGGCGCCGAGTTCAAAAATGCACAAATATGATTGAAGTTTCCTGCGTTTTACACCTCTTTTTAAATGTTCTTATTAAAGGGTTCAAAATGACCCAAACACTACCATCTTCACAATATAAGAATTCCTCTGAAAACAGCCGCAATTAATAAAAGCAGAATATTAGGATCTTGAAGCGCCAAAGTTTTCATCATTTATTAAAGTGTATAAATGTAAATCCTGCATGGCTTCATTCAGTTTCCCCTCAGAGTCTCATTGAGCTCAGCTTTATAATCATGTTTACAGTGAACAGAGAGAGCTCAGACACAGACTCGTTCTTAAATCACGGCTTTATTGTGTAGAAATCATCATCATTATCTGTACACTGGAGACTCCGCAGGTCTTTCCTCTTTATTTGGACGCCTCTTTCCTTGCGATGGTCTTGGCGCCCTTCTTGTTGTGTTTCTTGGCAAAGCGCATGTTCCTCAGGAATTTGGGATCCACCTGTTAGAGAACAACATGCATTAAAATCTAACATTACCCAGAGTTTAAACCATGCAAAAACTTCATGCACAGAGCTTATACAGCCTGGTCAACCTCAAATTTAATGACTTCCAGGTGAGAAGGGTGCGCGACGTAGCCTATTGAAGGACCGGGAGGGAGACGCGAGATTACCGGGAGATCATCACTTTTTTGCGGGCATCCTGAGGCTGTACTCACACTAGGTACAGTTGCTTCGAACCGGGCCAAAGCACTCTTGTCCCCCCTCCCGTCTCCCCAGACGGCCCGCGCTCACACCACAAACGGGCTTCGACACGCTTACGTCATCACTGCTGCGCTGTTCAGTGAGAAGCTCTCTCACTCAGCAGCACAGTGGAGATTTCTCTAGTTATATCAGGTCAGTCGGTTTGATATGCAGTGATATGCAGTCAAATATTTCGCCAAACAGTCCTTAGGGATGCGATGACACGCAGTCAGATATTTCGCCAAACAGATCCGCCACTTTTGGCGCTCATAAACAATCATAAAGTCCTCGTGCTGCAGGAATGAGGAGGTCTGCTGAAGGTGCAGCTGTCGTGCAGTGAGGGGTTTGCGTCTTTAATAAACTACGGCAGTTTGCGTTCACTGAACAGTAAGAATGATTAATAAATCCATATGAAACAGTCCCTTAAAAGTCACGTCTCGCTTTCAGTTTCAGGCTTTGGCGCGTTTTGCACTCACACACAAGC